ATTTTTTCGAATTAGGAAAGACGTCTTGTGCGTTTAAGGTCTAATATAATTACCGTTTGTTTTCATGAATTACTACATTCATAACTGGCATTCGCGCGAATGAAAATAAAGTCGTAAAACAACATAATTAGCGCTCTCATTTAGTTCCTCGAAGTACATCTAGAATACTGGCTCGTAAAATTTTCAGAAGCCTCAGTCGTGTGATCCAGGTTGAGATAACGCGTGGCATTAGCACAACATAATATTCTTAGTCACAACCTCTGCTATGCGCTCATCGCACGAAGATCTCACTGACGAGCATAAACTACGTGATGTGCCTGTGACCATGACGGCTTCAGAGTAAAAATGAATGGTCACTTATACGAGGATACATATTTCCAAGCATTTACCAACATAATACAAGTGTTGGGGGCGTCACAACTTGCTGTGTCTTGAAATTACCTGAAAGGGATTTTAACTTTGAAAGACGCATTATTTTAATGCAATAGCATTATTAAGTTACTAAAGATATTCAACTATGCATATTCTGGCCTTCTAATGCGCAGTAGGAATGCGCAGTAGACCATTTCAGCTCACTGTACTGGCACCGCATTGCACCTCGTGAATACGGAGCGGCAGTACGCACTCTTTCACATTCGCACCCTCTTCGAAGGACCTGACTACCTTGACGTGGTCCTCGACGTCGCCCTAGACGTCGTCTTAGAATTCCTCCTTGAGGTCGTCAGAGAGGTTGTCGTAGAGGTTACCCTTGACGTCGTTCTAAACGTCATCCTATTGGTCGTTCAAGAAGTCCTCCTAGAGGTTGTTCATGACGTGAACGCGTAAAAAATCAACGCGTAAGCTAACAATCCATCCTTAGGTACGTCTTGTACGGAATCAACCACTAATAATAGCATATGCTTTATGCTTATACTCACTGAAAACACAGTTATATTTGAAGGTACCTATGCCTATCGCACTCGAGGTCAACGATAAGAACTACGAAAATGCGCGCTGAGTTTTTTTGCGAAATTGTTTAAAAGCTCAGGTGTTCTTTTTTTGATCTCACTCTCGCCGTGAATAGGTAAGAGAGAATGATAAAGTTATCGATATGTTGCAGCCGCCATACACTTATCATCTCATCTTTTTTATCTTTAAAGTTACATATTTATTTACCTTTTTTTAGTCTGCATACATTCCGCTTTTGCGGGAATTTGCACACTGCATAAAAGTTAAAGGTGGATGCGTCCCGTGGGGTCAGATAAGTGAATTAGAAGAGCCTGTCACAAATTTCTGGACATGATTTGAGAACACTTCCCCTTGTATAATGCACAGCAACTCTAGAACACCATTGTGCAAGCGGCCGCATACGGTGCGTGTACCTCATGCAACCTACAAAGTGGCCGCGCCGTCCCCCGATCGTGGGACGCAGCGGCTTAACTTCTTAATTCACTTTCAGATAGCATATGACTTCCGATTCCTTGTTAAAGAGCGAAGACATGAGTAGACAGATTCAACCACAACAGCCACGCTGCCCGCCCCGCACCAAAAATGAACTCGTGCTTTTAAATGAGCGTGGTCGAATGTGCTTTTGGATCGTCAAGTGTATAAATGCGCACTAATGTTTATCGCAGGTATTTTGTATATATATAAAGCAAATCAGAAGATTAGGAGCAACTTTCCCTACCTGAAAATACTTGTGCGACTGAGCACGCCGAATGTTTCGCAGTACGATTCTGACATCACATAACAAAAAGAAAAAAAAAATGCCGCGGGGTACCTAGGTTATGAACGTCAAGCATTAATTCTAAGCGACATTTACAAGAAGTAGTAAAATTGTTGCACTGCCTTTTTAAAAGGGAGGTACAGCATCTTTTTTTTTTTTTGAACCTCACGTCCGTTACCATGGAAATAAAAAAAAAAAAAGATTTACCTCCCTTTTAAAAAGGCAGCGCAACAATTTTACTACAGGGTGTCACAAAAGAAAATTTACACGGTCTTTTTCACCGCAAAAATAAACTAGGCATCGCCGAACGCTCATTCTTTGCCCAAAGGTAGAGCTAGAGGCAGTCTTGGGTAAGTCACTTTTAAAAAGTAATTCGTTACAGTTACAGTTACTTTCAGAAAAAAGTAGTGAAGTTACCGTTACAGTTACCGCAACAAAAGAGTAACTCGTTACAGTTACAGTTACTTTTAAAAAGTAACGACGTTACTGTTCAGTTACTTTTCTATAACGCACAAAAAATGTAGGAAAAGCTAGAAAACACCCCTCACCAAGTTGTATTGCATAAAATTAAGAAGTACGCTTTTTATCTCATATTGTAAATTAGCAGCAGTAGCATCTCGAAATTAGTGTTTGAAAGTTTCCACGCCAGAGTAGTGGTGCAAATCAAAATACAAAACATGCGCAGTGCCCTCCGCGTGTATTGTTTCACGGTTGATTCATCGGATTAAAAAGCGTTTACACAGAAAAAAAAAAGAAAAAAAAAACACAGCATAGATAGTGCTTCAAGACACTACTCTTCAGTCACAAAGTACAAGCGCGTGGGTAAAGAAAACTAGATTTTTTTTTATCAAATCTACACGTCGCTATATTCGGGTCGTGACTCGCGAGAAAGAACGTATTCACAAGTTTGTGCAAGGCCAACTTGACACTCGAAATGTCGGAACAGACGATTTAGAAAGTGCGAAGAATAGCTAAATTGTACTCGTTCAGTGATATATTATTCACAAAAAGCTGGAAAGTAACGACAAAAGTAAAGTCGTTACTTTCATCGTTACCTCAGAAAAAAGTAATAGAACTACAGTTACAAGTTACACTTTTAAAAAGTAACTCGTTACAGTTACAAGTTATCAGAAAAGTAACTACATTACAGCAACGCGTTACTAGTAACGCGTTACCACTTAAGATTGGCTAGAGGTCACAACCAGATGCCAAAGTTTCAGCCCGGTCCGATAACCTAATCAAAAGTTATAAGTGATTTTCTGAAACTTTCAATGAGAAAATGGAGCTCATTTTTGCCCGTTTTCGGTTTCTGGTGCCATAGAGCCCCATGTGTTTCAAAACTCCGTCGGCCGCCATTTTCCCAATGAAATTTTGAGAAAATCATTTATAACTTTTGTTTAAGTTAACGGATCGGGCTGAAACTTTGGCATGTGGTTGTGACCTCTAGCGCTACCTTTGGGCGGAGAATGAGCGTTCGGCAATGCCTAGTTTATTTTTGCGGTAAAAAAGACCGTGTAAATTTTCTTTTGTGACACCCGTACTTCTTGTAAATGTCGCTTAGAATTAATGTTTGACGTTCATAAACCGCGAAGCACGCGGCTTTTTCTTAGCAATAGAGGTTGTAGAAGCAATTATAAAAACAAGGAACGTTCACCACCTCAACTTGCAACCAAAAAAGCGTCCGCGTTATCGAATGCTGTGCTGCCAATGCTCGTCTTAGTCAACTTCAAGCGGCGGCGCTGTCAAAACCCAGGCTATGTGCATGTGCACCGTTGCGTGATGCCCGTTAGAGAACCCGGGCTAGCGGTTGCATTTACTCATCTACAGTTGAGAGACAAGTCGCCCCCTGAGGTTGACTAACTTCCGGCTGTCTAAACATACGTACATCACAATTACACGTGCTGTGTGGTAGACATTATTAGGGATCGGCTATTTCCGTCCTTGCAGCGATTAGACACGAGCCACTTCCCGAATACTCGTCGAGGCATTGCTTGCTACCAACCCGAATCGAGCACCCACAGAGTATTCTTGGCCAATCAGAGAGACATATTCGGCTACCGTCACCATGTACTAATCCTCGTGACTATGTCAACACCGCAATCCCCATAACTAAACATAGTCTCATTTTGCAATGAAGAGACTGGAAGAAAAATTTATTCTTGACCAGTTTTTCAAAATAGCGCGCCATCTACTAGCTGCTGTGCCGATTATCTAAGTGGGCTGTTGTTTGGGCACGTACTCCGAGCACGGATTGTGCACCACTGCCGCGTCAGAGCTCGCCGAGGACCCGGATTCGATCGCGTGCTTCGTGCTCATGAAATGGCGCCCGCCCATGTTGCTTAATGGGGTCTTGAAAAGGAACTATTGCGCCGCTACAAAGAAGCTTCTAAGTCATGTTGCGTGCGAGTAAACTTGTCGCCTCGCGTAGTGTCAGTAACCACGCGTATAAAGTGAGAAATATTCCAACCCAATATTGTCGCGCTGCTCCTGTGTCTCAGACGGATCATGGATGCCGCAATTTAGGGCCTACTATGTCATGGCGACAGCTAACCAGCGAGACAATTTTTACAACGTAAGAAATAAACGGTGCCACGTGAATTGGTCACTATGCTATTTATGTTTAGCTTTCCAAGAAATGTAGTGAGGGGCTGTATGCCAAGATATTTGTAGTGAGAGGCAGAAGTATTGTTAAGGTCGCGATTGAAGTGGAAAAAGTAAAGACGTTGTCGCGTTTGATAAAAAAAAAAAGAAGAGGGATTTGAATTTCGATGAGTTGAGGACCATTCAACACTTCTAACATATATTATTATTGTTTTATGTGCAATTTTGAAAGTTAATTAAGAATTTCGTGTTACCTGTGGAGTTCTAATATGCGTAAAGTGTTGCTATATGCATTGCGTTGTGTCACACAGAATAGTAATCTCGTAACCAATGACACTTCACTTGAGCACGTGTGCATCTCTTGTCTTGTCTGGCTTTTGCATGTAACAGCCTGCACTAAAATGATCCGTAATAAACCTTGCTTAAGAGAACGCACTACGTTTTTATTATTATTATTTCCAAAGAGCAGCGACAACTTCAGAAATCGAAGGCGTGGTCAACTTTTGCGCTTCTACTTGGTTTCGCAATTGGTTGCTCTTGTAATGAATACAGGCGTCTAGCTATCGGACGTTCAGGTCTGATAATAGCCCAAGTTTCTTGAGTCGCTCGCTGTCGTACAAGATCGGCGCTGTAGTCCAGAAGTAGCGAGTGCTCCGCAATAAGTCTTGATGGGAATCCCGAAGGCGGTCTCATTTTAAGGATCACCACCAGGATAGACAAGATTGCCAAGGCGTTCGCACCTGGACGCCATTCGTTTGAGCATACCCACCTCAGCGGCCTGCAACAAAACATTCCATAAACTCTGAAAATTTTCAAGAATGTGCCTTCCAGTATAGTTTTAAACAGTGTACAACACACGCACAGGATATGAAGACAAATTAAAATACGTAAATAAATAAAGAAAATACAAAAACGCAAAATTAAATTATTGCATTTTACTTTTTATTTTGCACGCCATCTGTAAATGTTTGCGAACAGTTGACGCCCACTGCAACTTAGGTTCCCAAGTGAAACAGAGCATTCTTAAAATTCTTCTATACACTTAAATTTGTCGCGATAGATTGACTTAGAGATGACAGTTCTTCGACCTGCTGTTAATGCCCGCCGTTGTTCATTGGAATACAATTCTGCTCAGACCAACTCGTTGCAACACAATACTACTAAGACCAATGCATGCTTACTGGGAAATGCTGCTGGAGGGTTTCTTCCTGTGAAATAACAAAAAAAAAAAGAAAGACGTGTCAATGTTTTGTTTTTATTTTTACTAATATGATCAGGAATATGAGCTCATAACAAATCAGCTGATATCAGTGCACACTTGGTGGAAGTATCGTAAAATGTAAGGACACAGTCCCACTCCCACTCCAGTCACTGACAGCTAACGAATCGCAGGGTGTGACATATCACGCTTAATTCCTTCCCCGTGATTGGTTCATCGCCGTTCTTATCGGCTAGTGCCACACCTGACTGACTCTGAGTGAACGCTCAGAACTCGCCGCACCCTGTGTTTTTGTTTTATCAGCTGTCGGTGACTTGAACCTGATATTCTGAACTCGAAATTCCACTTACCACGTCAGCTTGGCCACACACCTTTCGCACGGCACACAGCTTTTCGGTGCATCCGAGTTTCTTTACCGTTTCGTTCAGCTTGGCTTTGAGCTGTGGCGGAAAGTTTTGTTAAAATGGTGCAAGAGCAGGTTAATACTTCTGACGGTGAATCTTTTAAGCGCGATCAAGGAACAAGCGCAAAGATTAGTTTTGTCATACACTTAAAAGAAAAAAAAAGTATGTGAGTTCACTTTATCGCAGAAGACGAATGCAATCAATCATGACGAACAGTATAAGAATGCCTGCCAATGAATGAATTAAAATATATTTACAGATTAAAAAAACTGCAATGCGCGGAGAGGCAATGAGCATGACGTCACACTTGCTCATTACCTCTACGGAAACCGCATTTTTCAGATGTAGTCGTGTCCTGAGATTTAACACTCGCGGTGATAGTTCTTTTCTTTGGATTGTCGGTCTCCGTATTCTGAAAAAAAGTTAAACTTGGAGCCTTTTTTTAGTGTGTATATACTTTAGACATCTGCATACTGGGTTTTTTCCGAGTTATTCTCCACCAAACGATTAAGGCCTTAAATTGACCTTCCCGAACCTGGTCTAAAAGTGTATAGTTGTGATCGAATTACATGGGCGCTATGTCCAGCTTGTTTTTTCCAGAGTTCTGTGATCATCAACGCAAGGCAGGTGCACTGGATTCTTTACTTCACCTTTCTTGATTGAAGGCAGGGCAAACATTGGGCACAACCCGTGTCCAATTTTTTTTCCGCGCTCAGTCAAGAAAGGTGAAGTAAAAAAATCCATAAGTTCTGCATGTCCATGTTCGGCTTCACAGACTGAACACCAGCCCCACCTGAACCCTGACGCAACGTTCGGGTATACGTGGGCCGAAAGCTGAGCGAAAGAACAACGACAAATAATTTATGTTGTTGTTCCCTTCGGTGTCGTTCTCAAAATAGCCGCTAGCCCCCAAGGGCGCGACGTTTGGGTCTCGTTCCCAATTGTTGACGTAAAAGTACGTTCAGCAATGTATTTTAAATTTGAAACGTTTTTACACCGTGGGCGAAATGAATTGAACGCACTTTAAACTGACTGTATAAATCGGTTTCCTAACTTATCGCGCTGGGATTTAAAACAGAGGTGCTCGAAGGTGGTGCATTCATTAATTGAGAGTAAGAATACATGAAACCTCCGGGGTCAAAAGAAAAAAAATGAAACTGGTCTTGTTTATGGAAAATTTATCCCTGAAATTTATCTCAAAATCGTCAGAAAATTGTTGTGGGCTATTCTGGCGTTTGCAACGATTGAAAACTTCGTAAGATGGAAAACAAATGGAATTGGCTTAGCTATTTTTTTCTTCATTTGGCCCAAATAAGCTCCAAAGTAACACACAATATTTGTTTAGTGTACATGCAAAGAATAAAAAAAAAACATTGTTTTTGATTCTTCTTGATTTATTCGGATGAGCTAATCTTTCCACAATTTTATCGAAAGCTTCTACCAACGTCCGGTACATCTGTAGTAAATCCCAGCGCGAGAAGTTAAAAAAACAATTTATGCGGTCTGTTTAAAGTGCGTTCGATCTATTTCGCCCACGCTGCAGTGCTTCGGCGACATCTTGAATTTGGCGGAAATTAGGCCTGAAAAAGCAAAAATCGCGAGCTGTCTGATATATATATATATATATATATATATATATATATACTTAAATGGAGACTACCAAATTAACACCATAAATATAACTACGAGTGCCTCTGAATGACCGAAATAGCTTCCGTCATAAATTTTGAAGTGTTTCCGTGGAGTTGACATTAAAAACGTTCTAGAACCAGGATATTCGGCATGTATTACTGCATATTTCAGAATTTCATTCTAAAGAAAGCTTACTCAAATTTCTTGATGATGGTAAGCAAGCTAGCCGTAATACGGTGAAAATATACTGGAGTTGGCCGCCTGCAGATTACCCACGCCGGCACACCAACTGCGCGTATTTGTGCGCTTTTGCATTGCCTCAGACTGTGAGTCGTTGCATTCTCTTTGTTGTGTCAAAAAATATGACGAGGCGACTCTTCAAGAAGACGCGGCGGAGTTTTATTAAAAAAATCATGCAGCGGTGTTTATAGTATGTAATTCTACATATATGGCGGTTTTATAGATAAATAAAAATACAGCGAATACAGACATATCGCTACACATAAAAATTAAATTCATTTTTGTTAGTAGCATTTGTAATTAATCGTAACAATAGAAGCAACATTTTTTATACGAATTAAGTTTTGGTTTTCTGCGAAACAAAACGGTAACATTGAAAATATGGCAAGATGCTCAGAATTGGCAGGGAATAGGTCAGATGGGAGGTCGGTCGAAAATACTTACTTTGTTGTTCTTCGTAGTTTCGATTACACGCAAAACATGAGTGAGGTTAGAATAATGCATCAATGCTTAAAGTTTAAAAAAAAAAAAAATTATTTTTGAACAATGCACGTTTAAATAAAACAACAACAAAGATGTCTCCCGGGAGGCAAAAGAAGGGGAGAAGGGTATCATCCATAGGGAGGAGGAAGTGGCGTGAGGAGAGGAGGCCCGTGTCACTCTTACAATTACAGGAGCTTTGGTGCCAAAGAACGCAGCGCAGTTATAGACTCGAGAGGATCTAAACATCGTTAAGTTCTGCATTGCAAATTGACGCAATGAAAAAAAAAAGGGGGGGGGGGGCGGTGCCCACCGCATCTCGGAGCGCATGGAGCGAAAGCTCGCGATGCAGATCACAGGGAACCTGCAATGTGGAATCCCCACCCTGCCTGGTTTCGATATGGGTGAGCATCCTATCGGCGTGCGGTCTTGCATCACTACTGCGGGGGGCATGTTAAAGGCCCCAGTCTAGGGGTTATACTGTACTCGGTAAAATTTTCAACTATATACAGTCACACTGTACGGTACTCACTAAAAGTACTAAAATTACTCCTAACCGTTGCTTTGTTTCTCCCTCCTTTTTAATGGAGCACGCTGTTTGTACAGGTGTACGACCGAGAAATCCTCGAAACAAGACTCCGACTGGAAATGGTTTACTTAATGTGGTGGATTAAGATGATAAGTAGTTTATTGTTCAGGGATTCTAGTCTAACAATCGACAGGACAAATGAGGTTTTGAAAATTGGAAGTAATCAGAAACGTTACGGCCAATTACTTTTCTCCTCAAGTAATCAAGTAAATCTCATTGAATGCTTTTTAAGCAAGAGTACTCTTGATCGTTATCGATAACCTTTTTGAAGTAAATGTACAAGACTGTATACAGATGAGACATCAGACGCCCACGTGGCCAGCTTTTTGGGACACGCTGTTTTAGTTCCCGGTTCTCACGACACGTGACATATCAATCTTGAGCAACCTAAGAGCAACATTGGCAGATTTTCACCAGTGTGATTGTACAGCTTAGGTAACTTCATCCAATCGCCATGCGTAGACCGTGCATGAAAGTGGAGCGAACCAATATATATATAATAGTTTTTAGACCACCTGAGAGTGGGTAGAAGAAACAAGACGACGTCGTTGTGTTTCTTCCACCCAGTCTCACGTGGTCTAAAAATTAGTAAACCTACTCCAGCTCACCTGCGCCCTAACTGTATTTCAATATATATTGTGCGGAGCCCTTCGGTGTGGTATAAGCATTAAAGCCAGGCGACGTGCGTAACTTAATTCTTGAGTAACTTAATTGCTTGAGTGGTGACATCTCAGCCATTTTTCCGCCCAATCGTTTTTTAATGCATTTTAAAGCGCGCGCAATCTGGTGTCACTCAGCTCGGACGCGTAGCTTTGGCCAATGCATAGACGCCATTTTTCCGCCCAAGTCACGCACCGAGTGCGCGAGAGCGTCACGCGCTGGTACATTCAGGGCAACAATGGATGTCTTCACCCTCAGACGGACAGACATGTAGGTATCCTAGAGCAAGGTGAACGAAGAATTCGAAGCGCGCGACCGCTATCTGAACCTCCTCTCCTGTGCATCTCTCCGGCCTCCCACCCTTTTCACCGTTTGCGTCTGGCCAAACACTTTACTAGGGGGAATACATTCCACTCTGTTCATTTGCATTAGACAGAACGCCTAAAGCGCCGAATCCAGCCCTGACGGAAAAAAAATCCGCGCCGAGTCTTTTTTTTTTTTTTTTGGGGGGGGGGGGGGGGGGGGGCAAAATCGCTATCATTATTATTAGTCGCAGACATTTCACGACTACACGCTATGCTACGCCGGCGGTCTGTGCGACAGTGCAAGCAAGTGTCTCGATGTGTGAATCAACGTCAAATGTGGTGCTTGGTGTTTTCGTTTGATACTTTTTCGAAACGATGCATACGATATCAAGAAACCAAATCAAGTTATCGCGTTTCAAAAGACTTAGGAACGATTTAAAGTCTGAGCTCAGAAAAGCAAAATCGTCGTACTACAATGGAAATATTCGAAGATGTCCCTAAGCCACGCCCAGATGTTGTTTGGAAAAATATTAATGAAGTCTTAAATTGCAGTCAGGTTTTTTCTGGTATAAATGAATTAATTTTAGATGGTCAAGCTATGTCGGGTACGACTTTGGCGGAATGCTTTAATAACTACTTTTCAAGTACACGCGAGACTGCCTACAATGTCGACGCATTTCGTTTGTTAAAATGTCGATGAGAGTTTTTTTCTAAATCCCACCGACGAACAAGAGGTATTTAACATGTTTTGGGGACTTAAGAACAGCAAGAGTATTGATATGAATGAGATGCAGATAAAACCAGTTAGCTTAGTAATGGACGTCATCGCCGCCAAGACTCGTACACATATATTGCCGCGCGCAGGGTCACGGACTTGTAGAAAGTTCTCGTTCACTCTTGCTGCGGACATAACTATCGTTCATCCCTGTTTTTGTTGTTCTAGAAAGTGCTTGTTCATTCTCGCCCCGAGCGCGCTACGCTCGAACCTTCTCCGCCGAATCTTCGAGATACTGACTCACTCTAGATAAGAGGCCGCCCGCGACCTTGTCGAGTCAGTCTCGCCCCAGCGCTCGATTCTGCTGACACGCCGACTTCGACGCCCGCGACGCTCTGCTTTCTTCTGTTTCCTT